GAAATTGCTGAAGGTAACACAGATAGAAAGTAGTCGAGCCAAGAAGCAATCCCAGTTCTAGAGCCAAAACTTATTAAAGAAAATAAACATGTAGAAAAGGCTACATTTGAGAAATAGCATTTATGGGTAAGTGACGGAGCACTGGATTTTAATAATATATTAGAAGTCTTCTAATTCGTGAAAATGTTTGCCCTTTATTCCCATGTTAAATTTTGTGCCATTTTCAAAAAATTAAAGTTTAATTCAAATGAGGCTAAATCCTCTTTTATCAAACATTAAAATCTAGTTTTCTTTCAGCAAATGAAAGGCAATTTCCAGAACAAAGGGTATCCTTATAATGTTGTTATCATCTTTATCTAGAATGGTTGCTTTATTTCCAGTTGCTCAGGCAGCTATTTATAGTTTATCAAAGATTCCAGAGTGTAAATTATTTGAACATTAACAGATTCAATTTGTGTGAAAAGGATTCTTGTGAACATGCTTTTGGTAGCATTAATAAAAACCATCTTGGACTCATGTTCTTTTGTCTTTTGATTTCTGGCATAGAGGTATTCAGATATTTTTAAAGGCACAAAGTTTTTATTGCTGATCACTTTTAAAAGTATCACTTAAGAATTGGCAGAAAATGGCAAAGACACATTCTAATCCAGTTATGGTACCAGCCTGAGTCTTGAAAATAAAACTTTGTACTTGAATATAAACCCCCAATTTAATGGGCCTTAATTTTTCACCTTTAGATGTAGAACAACTTTTCATGTTGGTGATTATCATCCAGAGAAAAAAGGAATTGATTTCCTATTTTAATATTAAAATACATATATATATTTACTATAACAGTATATATTTTGCTATTTACATGTTTTATTCTACTATGATGTATGTTATATGCCGTATGTGATATATTATATATGTAATAGTATAAATAATATCAGGGAAGGTAGAGGAGACGACTGCTTCATATTTCTTTAAAATTTGCGTAGCAAAGCTGAAATTTTTAGAGAGCAAGCACAGCAAACTTTAAGGATATTATGTGATTTTATTTTGAGCTTTCAGTAGTGGTATGTTTCATTCAGCCTATGACAGTAAAAATAAATGAGTAATAGATGACTGGTGTGTTTTGTAATACCCTATATAATTGAATCTGTCTAACCAGACAATTATTTTCCTGTTGTCTAAAATTAAATATCATTATGTTTTCTGACAGTGTAGGAATTTCTATTCAGTTAAAATGTGTGTTGTCATTGAAATGAAAATAATGAAGTTATAAGAAATTGATTGGCTGACACTATTTACTGAATTCTTCCCCCCAAAAGTCAAATCCAGATCATTTCAAATTTCTTATGAAATAGCTGAAATACCATTAAAATGTTAAAACTCAGCCTTTACAGTTTCTAATATAGATACTTGGTTTTGTAATTTTCGCCTGAGATGTAAATAGTGGTAGCGTATCTGGTCATTCACTTTGTGAGAGCGGGCCTCCAAGATGGCGCCCAATGATCCCACCTCCCGATATTTCACACCTTTATGCAGCCCCCTCCCCATTTACCAGGTTTGGGCTGTGTGACCAATAGAATACATCAGAAGTGATGATGGTATGTCACTTCCAAGAGTAAGTTATAAAAGACACTGGGGCTTCCATCTTGGTCTGTCTATCATCTGCCCATCTCTTGCATCACTTGCTCTGTGGGGAGCCAGCACATGCAAGGAACCAAGGCCTATACCAACAGCCGTGTGAGTAAGCTCGGAAATGGATCCGCCAGCCCTAGTTTGTCCTTACGCTGACTGCAGCCCTGGCCAACAGCTTAACTGAAACTTCAAGAGACACTGAGCCAGAACCACCCAGCCCAGCCCCTCCTAGATTCCTGACCCTCAGCAACTATGATAAAAAAAATGTTTACTGTTTAAGCTGCTAAATTGGAGGGTAATTTGTTATGGAGGAACAGATAACCAATATACACCTCCACTAAAGCTCTCCTTTCATTCTTCAAATCTTAACATTTATTTTTCATCATTATTGTTGTTATTTGTACTGTTAACCTGTCACCCATACAATTCACTTTACTGAGGCATTAAGTTGGTTGAAAAATACCATGTTCTGTCTCTCATTTTCCAATCCAGTGTTTGGTATACAAATACAGACAGACCATCTTCTTCCATACTTGGGCCCCATATTAGAATGTATTTAAAAGAATTGTTTTGTGACAAGGAGCCTTTTTTAGATTATTCCACAGATTCTTTTCATTTATGTGCAAAGCCACCAACTTTGTATAACTTGTAATTACTATGCGAGTGATTATGGAATTACTGTGAAGTACTTCAAGAGAAAACAGACAGCTTAACAACTGTTCTCACAGTAGTCTCAGACCTCACCAAACAAGCTTCTCATCCATTACTCGTAATTCAGTGATGCTCATTAATTATGCAGGATAATAACAGAGTGGGTTTTAAAAAGTCATATTTTTAAGGATTAGTTAACTATATATTCAAACCTGAAAGGCAGTATCTCAGCAGATCTGGTGTCAAGGTCATGAATTGTACTCCCAGCTCCCATACCACTTTCTGCAAGGTGTTCTGAAAAGGGAAACGTCATAAAAACATTCAGGTTTCCGGGTTGGGTGGGGGGGTCAAAAATTTTTTCCCTACTAAACCAATTTCAGTGCCAATAATCATTCCTTTACCACGACTAATCATGCAGAAACAGTAATCATGAATAAAAAGTGTGACAGTTAAAAATGAACTGGAATTCGAACTTCTTAAAGAGTTTTTTTCTCTTACTTTCTTTAAGTATTTTTCTAAACATGGATTTGCCTTACAACATTAATAGCTATAACTGGATATTTTCATTGAATCCTGGGCTATCAATCTCATATTTTTTATACCTGAAATAAAAGAAACATGTATTTTTTAGTGAAAGGAAAACATTGATGAGTCCAGTGTTGACACTGTTGCTTTTTAAAATGTAACTAAAAACTAGCTATTTTTTTACTCTCATCATGATTTTTATTTTTTATTTTTTTTTATTTTTTTTTTTAGGCAAGGCAACCCTTGGTTGACCTCACAGATTGCAAGGACCTTGTCAGCTTACAATCCCTTATTTTTTTTATTTTTTTATGCCTGCAGCACCTGGTCTTCCTGGGTGGTCTCCCATCCAAGTACTAACCAGGCCTGATCCTGCTTAGCTTCTGAGATCAGACGGGATCGGGCTTGTTCAGGGTAGCAAGGCCGTAGACTATGATTTTTAAATATAATAAAATAAAAATAGCCAATTCAGAAATTGGTCTTGTCATTCTCCACAAGGGCTAGAGCTTATATTGAAATTTTACTGAGAATTTTATTTTAAATTTGGAGCTGAAAAAAATAACAGGATTCTCTCATGGACTCTGTCTTTCAAATCCCTCCCCATTTAGTTCACATGCACATGCATACACACACATGCAATAAGATTATCAGTAATTTAGAGGAACAAATAGATTTCACAATTCCTATTTCCAGTACACAAGTATCATTCAAATATTCCAATAATGTCATCTTGAAGTCAAGACAGAAAACCCTCGGCTTCTAACTCTGCATCGAACATTTGCCATCTGATACCAACATACATTTGTAGCATAGGCTAAGTGATTCCTGGGTCTTAAACTTGAACAGTTTAATGAAGAAGGAGGCATCAGACTTTTCAACATTGAAACATACTTCTGTTGTATTAAAGAAACCCCATGTCTGCTTTATTTTCTTGAGGGTTTTGGGTTTTTTTTAAGCATAGTCATTGAATTGTGAATTTTCCTTTCTTTTTCAATGGGTTCCTGTTTGTGGATGGTGGTTATAAGAAAATACAGCTCCTGATGAAATCATTTTAATTGATAAATTCCAGTAATTTTCATAATCGAGTTTCATTTGAAAGCTTAAATTATATAGTACTTTGCTGTGGTTTTTGAGAAAGTTTCCTCAGTGCTATATTAACTTTTTTTTTTAATATCTCAGGAAACTTGAATGTCTGTAAAATAATTATTACTCTCCCTATGTTCACCTGTATGTAATATATGATGCTCATACGAAGTAGTACTTCAAGCCCTTCCCAACAGATACAGGAGAAGAGGGAAGCCTCAGAATATCTATCATTCATTCCCTTCCCAATCCTTAGACCTGGCCCGGTACCTGGGCCCAAAGCGCTAGACCAGACTCCACGCACCAGCCCACATTCTCTGCTCACCTTCTTTCATCCACAAAGCTCACCTGGAGGGGACAGATAGGAAGATGGAAGATAGCAGCTAAACAGAGACTAGAGGAAGGGGTGGAATTGGGCAGCAGGTAGTAGAAGAGATTTTGTTTGCACCTCTAGTCATGATTGTCTCTGCCCTCTTGACCCACCAATAGCTATGTGAAGTTCTGTTCATACCAATGACTGACAGTCCTAGATTATAATGTGAAAACATTTTTAGTATCCTTTACTTAGCTACAGCCACCTAGTTAGGTTCTAAATATGTAAGCTCCCAACGTTATGTTTAGCATATTTTAGAAATACAAATGCCATAACACCAAAAGAAAAGGTCAGATATACCTGTTGGTAAAAAGCATCATAAGCAGAGGCAGAGAGCGTGGTGGTTAAGGACACAGATTTTGGAGCCAGGCTGCTGAAGTTTAAATCCTAGTCTGACCACTCGCTAGATACGAGTAACCTGGAACAAGTTACTTGACCGCTCTGTCATCGTTTTCTCAGCTACAAAATGGAGATGAGAGCCCTACCTTATGAGGTTGTAAAATTTAAGTGGGTTAATGTCAATAGAATGCCTAGAACAACGTCTGCATAGTTAGCTCTGTGTAAGTGTTATTATTCTACTATGCCCCCATTCGGGTGTTATGTCTGTATTCAGACGACCCCATCGGATTTGTAGTCAGCAGCTTACATTCACACTAATCCTGCCACCTTTGATGTATAACCACCGGCGAATCCCACTCCTAACACTTTTCAAGAGCAAAATGCTCATTTTTGTTCTCTTTCTCAGGCCCAACACAGAGACACTTTCATCGAAGAACGCTATGGAAAATACAACATCAGTGATCCTTTAATGGCTCTACAGAGAGACTTTGAAACTCTGAAGGAAAAAAATGATGGCGAAAAGCAGCCGGTCTGCACAAACCCGCTCTCTGTTCTCAAGGTGGTGATGAGGCAGTGCAAGAACATGCAGGAGCGCATGCTGTCCCAGCTGGCCGCGGCCGAGAGCAGACACCGGAAGGTAGGCTCGCGCGGGCGGCGTGGGCTACGGAAGCTCCTACGGAGATTTTGTAAATGATGCCTGATACTTTCTTGTCAGCGGCCAGTTTTCACAGTAATTCAATCGGGAGGTCCCGCAGGTGTTAAAAAACCCTTCAGCTTACTTAGGAGCCAGGAGATAGAAAAGAAAACATAGGTTGTTCCAAATGTGAAATTTAGGGAGTGTGCCAGACACATTCGAGACAGCATTCCTTCTTGATATGACACTCCAAACACTTGGGTGTTTTTTCAGCTCTCGATCATCCAAACTTTGGCAACAAACAGGTTTCACCAAGCTTGAAGCTGAACAGAGTGTTCTCTGTTTGCTTACTTAAGTGATAAATAGAAAGATTAACAGGTATTTGGGGAATGAGAGAGAGAATTTACCTGACTATAAACATACAAACCAATAGATTATTTTCATTTATTCCTAGTTTTGAGTTTCATTGCATTTTACTTCTCATGAAACCATAGAGTCCCGAGGGTTGTTTACCTTAAAGCTGTTCTACCCTACTGGGAAATGGGGAGGAGGGGAGTGTGTGCGTGTGTGTGTGCGTGTGTGTGTGTGTGTGTGTGTGTGTGTGTGTGTGGTCCCAGGTCCTACAGCCCCTAGTTAGGAAAGGCAAACCTGTGCGTTCCTCTACCTCATCTCATCGGAATTCTAGTGCTTGTGATTTTATTCCCAATCTTGTCATTTACTGCTCAAATTTGACCTATAAAAGACGCTTGGCTAGAATCTGCATTTTAAAAACTGTTGGCTAAGACTTATACCAACAAGGGGGGACATCGGCACATTTAGTAGGAAGCATTTTATTCTGAAAAATTGGGTTCCCAGCTGCCGTTCGACGGACCGTAGTTTACTTTTATGGTCACCTGCATTAGAGAGCCATCTGCTCACAACGCATCTGACAAATTGCTTGGACTTAGGTCTTGCCTGTGATTTTTTATTCCCTTCACAGAGTCCAAATGAAAGGCCAGAGTGGAGGTTCTGAACCATGGATAGACCTCAGATGTTCTGTGCCACCCCACCCCCAACCCCCAGAAAATATACAGAATGTCAAAAGTTGGTACGCTTTATAGAAAATGAAATTTTCCCTATATCTTTAATTGAATTCTCAAAATTTTCCAAGACCCAAAAAAGTTTAACTTCCATTCTGGAATGAAATAACCTGAAGACATTCATGTTCCAGTTTAAAAGGTATCAGTGCGTTTGAGTTAGTTGCCTAAGTTTTGGGGAGCTTTCCCATAATCCTCTAAGAAAATCTTTACAACATCCTTGTTTGACAAGCAGGCCTTTTTTCCACTTCATACATGAAGTCACTGAGTTGTGCCGAAGGGCTGGCTGGCTGTCATGCCTATGGAAGCAGTAGTGTTGTTATGACTTGTGGCTTACGTGACTAGAGAGAGGAAGAAGTTAAAAATAATTCAAAATTCTTTAATACTGTATTTCACTGTAAGTTTTTTAACTGAGTGTTAGATATTTTAAACCAGCTGCCTATCTATTCTTAAGTAGAACACTGACTTGTTAGAAATCAGGGACCTAAAGGCTCGTGATTAGGCTGCTTATAGCCCCAGTTTGCCTGAGGGGGTCCCAGTGTGTGCCCATTGCCGTGACACGGTTACTCATAGTATCCCCCCTTTGACTCTCAGAAGGGTTGTGGTTTGAACAGTGAATTACATGGTTACTCTGCTTATTATGAAAATAAGAGTTCCCTAGCCCATCTCTTCCCATTCCCGCTCCTCAATAGTCAATCAACCACTTTTTTCTAATTACTGTTTATTTTGGTAGGTAACTTCCGTATTTCTAAATAATATACTCCTCTCTCACTTTATCAGTTTTAGACACATATTACTTCCTTTTCTCATAGACGTGGATTTCGTTATTTTACACCCCGCCTTCCTTTCCTCTCTACGCCACCATCTTCCCAAAACGAACAGAATCCCCTTTCCTAACGCCCATCCTCTGTCATAGCTGCTGTTCCTGTGTCCTGAGCCCGTCTTACGTTATGTCTTCAGAAGATAAACGTCTGGATTATGCCTGGGCAGTAGGTGTCTGGCTGCTAACATTCTATGTATGGGAATAAAATTGAGGGGACAAATAACTCTTCTGAAAAATACCGACTTCGAGCCAGTCCTCTTGTTTTCTCTCCCACTTCTCACCTCTTCCCTGCAGTTTGCCCCCATTTCCAGGTTCAGTATCTCTTTGGGGACCTGAAAGGCAAAGCAGCTTCCTCCCCCATACCAAAGTAGTTCCCACAACTCTAGCCTCTGTCCTTCTTCAGACTGTTCTTAAAATTCCTTGTCTACTAAAGTCTCTCTCTATCTTTGTGGGTTTTTATTCTTGTCATTCCATTTCTATAATTTTAGGGGGCCCTCGGGAAGGAAAGGAGATGGTCTACCACCTTTAGCCAAAAGCTTATCTTTCTATTAAATTGAAAATTCAGATTTTTTTTTAAACCGGAAAGAAGTACACCAGAACGTTTCCTTTTTTGTGTTTAAAGAGGAATGTCGTGTCCCAGAAAATTTTCTCTCTTCATTCATAAAAATTGTTAGTGAGGAGAAACGATGAAAAATGGCCATTGGGATGGCAGTGCCTTGCCCTGGTGGTCTGGGCCAAGGTACCTCTGAAGCGTGATCAGAAGGGACTAAGAAATCCGTTGCCATTCAGAATATTGCGCAGCTCTAGGCTGGATTATGTGGCAAATGTCCCTTTCGATTTGTATTCTCCTTAAAATTGGGCTTAATCCTTTGGCACCAGGATAAGTAGAATGAGTAGGAAGGTTAATTAAAAGGCCTTGTGCAAAATCTCCCAATAATTTAGCCTTTTTACATGCAGGATGGAGTCATGAGAGTCTTTTCACCTCTTATCTAACTATATACAAAATGCATGTTAATTATTAAGCAAGGCACAGTTAGGATGACTCTCATTTGGAGTGTTTAATTTCAGGCCCCCTATTTGGTGCCTCCAGTGATTTGAGCGTTGAGGGGACAACCTCGGCTTTTAGCTTTCCATGGCCCTCTCTTGCTCCATCACAAACACCTGTCCCCCTTAAGTGCCACCGAAGTGCCTTCAGTTTCCTGGACCTTCTGTTAATTCTCTGAAGACTTCTCAGCCCCTGCAGCTGGACGGTTGCTGTCTTCTGTTTACATGCCATTCTGTGCATGCCTCCATGAAGCGCGCACAAAGCTTGCCTGTCGTTCACCCTGCGAGGCAGTATGCTCCTTGATGGCTCTGACTGGGATTTATTTATTTATTTATCTAGCTCTGGAACTCTCTTAGGTGCTTAGATAGGTAAAGAGTACTTAATTGTATTCTAAGTGTGATTCCTTGATATTTGGAAATGATTTCTTTTTTTTTTTTTTTTAAATTCTTTAAAGGTGATCCTAGACCTTGAGGAAGAAAGGCAAAGGCACGCACAGGACACAGCAGAAGGAGATGATGTCACCTACATGCTGGAGAAGGAGAGAGAGCGTCTGACTCAACAGGTAATTAAGGTGGAGGGATTCACAGCAGCATTTGCCTAGGATAGCATTTCTCCAAGATTGCTCTGCAGGGTGTAAATTGCTCAAGAAAAGGGCTTTGTAGTCAAATAAGTCTGGGAATTACTGAATTAAAGTTAAACAGTTTTCTAACTTCGATTTCTTAGACCCTTTAGTATGCAAAAGCACATTGTAAGTCTTCAAGAGCAAGATAGGGTATTCTGTGTTTAGCAAATCTGCGTTTTCACAAAATCTTTTTTTGACACAGATCACTCACTGTGGGACTGTTGTTCCATAGAACATACTTTGGAGAACGCTAACATTGAGCACTCAAACTTTTTTTGACTCCCCGTAAGAAATACATTTTATATCACACAGGCCTGAAACAGAAATCTCGTGAAATCATACATAACCCTTACTGCTTACAATGCCCATTGATGTTTTCTATTTTACTTTTTAAAAGTTCTGGTCATGACTCACTAAATTGTTTTCCCTATCTATCAATGAGTCTCAAAGTTTGAAAAATACTGACTAAAAGGGTTTCATTAATCCTTCCTGTAAATGGGGTTGGAATGACAATTAAAACAGACTGCATTTGTGTAAAAAGGTCTAAATCAAATGCAACTACTTATGTTTGTTTGTTTGTTTTTAAGACCAGAAAGAATTATTACAGAAGATTTAAAGGTTTGTTCTCCGCAGCGTTCATCACAGAATCTGGTTTAGATGGCTTTCCGTTTTTGGTTCTGATAGGTTCTAATCCTCCAGACTCTCCAGTAAAACACAGTGATGGTTCACATTCGCACCAATAACCCTGAGACTATATAAAAATGAGAAGTGCCTCCTAAATCATCAAAGAAAGACTAAATTGTAACGTAAATTCTTATGTTAGGTGTCCTAATACTTCAGAAACGTTTGGAGTAAACACATGGCATACATTGCTAATCCTGTGTGCTAAGAGCAGCTAGCCAGGGCATTCTTTTTAAAAACAGTTTTCAGGGTATCTCGTTTGTTTCCTTAATTCTAATCAAGACACGTGGTGGCATTTTTTTTTTTTTTTCTTCTAGTTGGAATTCGAAAAGTCCCAAGTGAAAAAGTTTGAAAAAGAGCAGAAGAAGCTCTCGAGTCAGCTGGAAGAGGAGCGCTCCCGCCACAAGCAGCTCTCCTCCATGCTGGTGCTCGAGTGCAAGAAAGCCACCAGCAAGGCGGCCGAGGAGGGACAGAAAGCGGGAGAGCTGAGCCTGAAGCTGGAGAAGGAGAAGAGCCGGGCGAGCAAACTCGAGGAAGAGCTGGCGGCTGAGAGGAAGCGCGGCCTGCAGACCGAGGCCCAGGTGGAGAAGCAGTTGTCTGAGTTTGACATCGAAAGAGAACAACTGAGAGCAAAACTGAACCGAGAAGAAAACCGGACCAGAACCCTGAAAGAAGAGATGGAAAGTCTGAAGAAGATCGTGAGGGACCTCGAAGCTTCTCATCAGCGCGGTGGCCCTCATGAGCAACCGAAGAAGCCGGTCACCACGTCTAAAGGCACAGTGACGGAGCACCCCGTGCGGGTGTCTGTATTCTGCCAAACAGAGAGTTTTCAGGCAGAAAGAACCCAGGGGAGCAACGTAGCCAAGGTGACAACTAGTGGGCTGCCTGGTCCCACCACTCCTCCTTACTCTTATGCAAAAACCAATGGCCATTTTGACCCAGAGATGCAGACTACCAAGGAGTTGATTACAGGCAGCAGTGTAGAAAACCAAGTGCCTCCACGAGAGAAACCTGTGGGATTGGCCCAAGAGAAAGCAGTGGAGAACGGTGAGTGTCCTGGGGGAATCGAGAGTCCGGGCCCAATGCCGGGTCACCTCCCTTCCAGCGGGAGCTCACTGTCTCCCTGCAGCACTGCGTCCTCCTCTCTCACATCCTCCCCTTGCTCCTCACCAGTACTAACTAAGCGTTTATTGGGGTCATCGGCCAGCAGCCCCGGCTACCAGTCTTCATACCAAGTAGGGATCAACCAGCGCTTCCATGCAGCTCGGCACAAATTTCAGTCCCAAGCAGATCAGGACCAACAAGCCAGTGGTCTGCAGAGCCCTCCATCCCGGGATCTGTCCCCCACCCTCATAGACAACTCTGCCGCCAAGCAGCTGGCCCGAAACACAGTCACTCAGGTGCTCTCCAGATTCACCAGCCAACAAGGGCCAATCAAGCCCGTCTCACCCAACAGCTCTCCCTTCGGCACGGACTATCGAAATCTGGCCAGCACTGCCAACCCGAGAGGTGACAGCAGCCATTCGCCTACTCCAGGGAAGGTGTCCAGTCCCCTGAGTCCCCTGTCTCCAGGGATCAAGTCCCCCACCATCCCCAGAGCTGAGAGAGGAAACCCTCCTCCCATCCCCCCCAAAAAACCTGGCCTCACTCCTTCTCCATCCACTAGCACTCCACTGACCAAAACCCATTCCCAGGCGTCCTCTTTGACAGCCGCAGACGACCTCGCGAGCAGCTGCTCCGCTAACGCCGTCGTGGCCAATGGCAAGGACGTTGAGATACTTCTGCCAACCAGCAGCTAGTCCCTTGGAGGGGCTCTCCACATTTGACATTCCATCAGATTTCGTCCAGGAGCTCAGAGTTAAACCCTTGAGTCAGATCATGTTATTTATTTTCATAGTAGCCGAAACCGTCTGTATAATACATCTAGTGCATTTCACCTTTTTGTATTTTTTTTTTAAAGTAGAAGACTGAGTAGTTTGGATTTTTATGACTCACCTCTTTGCGTACTCTAAAGCTAGACGGGCACCTCAAAGACGTTTCGAGCTCAGCAGTCACCATCATGCTGTGATGCAGAAAGCTAACTGAGTACCAGATGGTGACCTGCCTGTCTGTTTTGGGACTAGAACCACTCAGCACTCCATTTGAATTATGCAGAAGTGGTTCGTGCAGATTTTATTCCAGATCCAGATGAACATGTATGAAAAGTGCCTGAAATAAGACTGCCATGCGAATGGGATCCTTCAGCAAAAACACAACATGGCTCCTTCCATTGCAGAAAATGAGATCCTCTGTGGATTCTGAATGTTAAAAACCAACACTGCTTTTAATCCTCTTTTACAGTTTTTAATACTCCGAGCTTTGTGTTCAGAAACAAGGCTGCATACGTAGAATAGGAATCCTACAGGTGGGTGTGAACTCACCACAAAGCTGAACTTTACGGAACCCGCGAGAAATCCTCCTGAGCAGTAAGCAGTTGGGGTGCTGATTTTCTTGTGCTTTTGAGAAATTAAGTCATTCCCAGTTCCCTGCATACATTCTTGATAGAATGAAATCACATCTCCATTCAAAAAAATGTCTTCAGGCATCTACTGTTGTGTAAGGAACTTCTGATTCCAATTACTATTACTTGAATAGGAACTGGTTACTCATTCTGTATAAAAATTTTATAACAGAATGAGATTTTTATTCTGTAATCAGAAAGCAATAACTTCAAATTCACTCTCTTTGTAATATTATAAGTCAGAATTATATAGGTTTTACCAAAATGTTACACTTATTCTCCAAGCAGCCAGCACTTCGTGTCTGTATCTGTGGAACCAAATTAACTTTTGCCTAACTGAAAGTATACATATATCTGTATAGATACACACCCCTTTACGTGTCTAACATACACACACCTACCACATAAACATTAGTGTGATTATATCTTTGGAGTTCGCAATATAGCATAAAGGATGAGTAGAAATGCATGTTAAGATTACCTACCAAAGCAACTAGATGTGGCTGGGACTCAATCAAAGGAAGAATCTTGTCCACAAGGAAGTGGGGGAAATTCCACATGAAGTCAAGTCTTCAGCATCTTGAAAAGGCAGAGCCAAACTAACCCCAGCGTCACAAAACTCAACTGGTCATGCGAATGAGTAAAACGGGTCACTCAGTCAAGTGGTGTAAGACAGCCAGCAGCTGTGGGAACGGTATAGGAAACTGGAGTCCCCAAGCCCCATTTAATAGGTCCCCGTTCACACCAGCTGCTTGTTGCAAGAATGCTAGACCTGGGTTACCAGCTCCTCAAATTTTTATGAAATCCAAATTTTCTTGAGAATTATTCTGTTTTACATATCAAGAACAGATTCAGAAAAATGTTAAATACTGCTAGTTACACAAACACGTCTGCAGCTGGATTGAGCCCACAAGCTACAAGCTACCAAACTGTAACCTCTTTTATTCTAGAAACTTCTTTCATTTCCATCAGAGCAAGTTTACGAAGACAAAAGCCTCCAGACTTTCCAACTTACAGGCTGCTACAGCCTACGAAGCCCAGGGAATATAATGACTATCTCCCTCTTCCAAACAAGACTACCCACAACCCAGCTCCAACACGGTGGTTATGTGATTTGGTGTCCAAAGGGATGGAGAGGCCTTGGGGTCCTCACATACAACCTCCAAGCCAACATCTGTCCAGCTGCCCCTGACCTCCTGCTGTCATTTAAGTCTATTTCTTCTTAACCCAACACTCGAGTTGATGGGGGAAAGCGGGTGATAGAACTTAACGTATAAATCACAATAGAGTATACTGGTGTCTCCAACAGCTTATGGTTCCATTAAGGTCAATACATCAAATATTAAAAACTTAATGCCCCAGCGTGTCTACCAAATGATGAAGGTGGCATCTTAAACTGCCCAGAGCAATCATGCACTAAACTTGATGTATAGCCAAATGAACGGTATCGATAAAATTACTGGAATTTCTAAACAGGAGAGGGGGCTTATTACCTCTCTTGCTTTAAATGGTAATCTTAAAAGTTGCATTGTGCTCCTCCTTTGTTTTGGCATAGATATATATAGAGAGAGAGAGATACTATAAGGAAGTTTATTTCTTAGGAAGTGCACTGAATAATGTGTTTCTTTTACAGTGTAATATGGGGGTGGGGAAATGAAAAAAATGTGTATTTTTGCTAGTTGCCTATCTTCAGAAGATAAATAAGCACAATCCTGCAATGGATCCAATAATCCAGTTAGGTATTATAGATTAGTATTTAAGTTTGCTGTATATTGTGTGTGTGCTAAGTAAAAGTTCCATGATTCACAATTTTGGTATTAACCCATGTTGTAAAAGCTATGTTACCAGTCAACAGATTATAATGATGTGCGACACGTAACACGAGCATTAACTAGTCATTAACATTTGTAAATCAAATGCACCATGCAGAAGCCTTCATCCATTTTTATAGCAAACTGCATTAAAACAAGTTAAATCATACCGTCTGGGGGAGAAATAGTCTTGTTTTTAAAAAATGAAGAATGTTGCACAACAGGGCCTGTTTTGTCGGAAAAGGAGCAAGTCGTGTGGAGGGAGCACTCGTTCATGGCTCTAAAAAAATCAAATGAAGTCAGTCCACGTTAGACTCCAAGAGGGGCTGGGACATTGATTTTCTTTGGAATCTTGGAGCTGAAAAAGGAGCCTTCACAGTTATCCAGTCTGTAATTTCTAAATCATTTGGGGGTTCCAGACCTTTTGAGAATCTAAGAAAAGCTAGACTATCCCCAGGGGGTGGGGGGAAAATGGGTTGTTTATATGCAAATTGATGGTTTCAGCAAGATCCAGAGACCCTGAAGCCATTGGTGATTGATGTACTCTAACTTCAGGATGCCTGCTCTGGTCCTGCCCTCTCATTTTATGAATGACTAATACATCCCTCATCTCCTAGTCAGACGCTGTTGCTGCTACATTGTTAGTAAATGCCAGTTGTAGCCAGACAAAAGCACTTGACAATCCTTTGGTGTTCCAAAGATTTTAAAACTGTGGATGTTTATATATCTTAAGTTTCCAGCATTTAAGCCAGTTAATGATCATGTCAACAAACACTGGCTGTATCCTTTTTCCCATAACAGCCTCACGGTCAGCAACATTGCCTTGTCAGTGTGTGTGTGTGTGTGTGTGTGTGTGTGTGTGTGTGTGTGTGTGTGTAAATTATAAAGAGTGCTTCTGATGCTTAGTCCTTGAAACGGAATTTCCAATGTCTTTTAAAACGCTGGCTTCTGATAGGATGTGTTTTCATACAAGATGAGTCAGAGGTAGGCAATGAGCATTGTTCCACGGGAATCTTTAATGTAATTACAACTAGTTGATAAAACTTGAAAGGCTATATCCAGCCATCCGCTCGGGTATCAATGGCCAATTCATTGGTAAAAGCAAAGGGGAAAGACAGGGTAGAGGTTCTCAGGCTTTATTGTACTTCAGTATAACCTGGGAAGCCTGCTAAAAGTAAGGGTTCATGGGGGTTGGACCTGGGGGCCAGCAGATGTAGGTAACCTGAGGGCCACCTTTTGAGAAGTTTGCCTTGTAGCCCGCACCCGTTCTTTCACAAGACCGTTATTTGCCTCTGACATAGATGTCTTAAACTCCTGAATCTGGTTTGTCAGAGGTCAGTGACATTCAGAGTCAAGAGTGCCTACTTGGATTCCACCGCATTAGAGATTTCATGCACATATCACCTTACTAATCTTCCCAAGGGAGCTGTGAGTATTACTAGCTCTGGTGTGCAGATGAGGTCCTTGAGGACCAGAGATTTGTACGAGGGCCCTTAGTAAGTGACAGGGCCAGGATTTAAACCCCAGTAATTTGCTCTCTCCACTCGCTACCTCTGTTCCCCAGATGAGAAAGTCCTGAGTCATTTATTACCCTAATCCCAGGCCTGCTGGAGATTCTGATTCTGCAGACTAAGGTGGGGCTCTAGATAAGTATCTGGGCAGATTCTTAGGATGGAAGCAAGTTTAAACCCTGGTCACCACACTGCTGCCCCCGCCCCTACACCAGAACCACCCCACCCCCAAAGAGTGGCTTATGAGACCCAGCAGGAGACCTTTATCAGTCAGATAAACTGAACAAAACATCTTGTTCCCCTCAAGGAACAGATATTTAAGATGGGACAGAAACGAAAGTAGTTATTACAGAAAACAAGTTTTAATGTGTTCCCTGTCCTCAGGGTACTCACAGTCTCATTGCGGGTGGGGGTGGGGGAAGCAAAACATTAACACAAAAAGTTAACAGAGACAACTGAATAAAGCCAGTGGGGTTTAAATGCCACGCGGGGTTATTGAAGGTGGTCCTGGCAAAATCACGAAGGATCAAGAGCTCTGTCCACACCACTGAAATGGTTTTCTCTGAGAAATTACTGGAAGCATCACAGTAAGATTGGCTTTATCCCTGGGAAGTCACCTACTTAATTTGTCCTAGTACCTTAACATGGCAGACACCCAGGTCCCCTCCAGGAATGGAGGACTTTTTCCCTAGCTTCGGGGAATGATGACATAAACTTCCCTCAGCCATAATCCCCCTGTACGCATTGGCTTCACTGGAAGAAAGGTCACACCTCCTTCCAGGGGCAATTCACATCCAAAGACTGATTGATGTGGAGCATAAAGATCTGGACCCCTTGTCCCTAATCAAGCGACCTTTGAGGCATCATCTCAACTTCAAAATCCCTGTGGGACTGGCTGAGCTGCAGCTCACCTTACCTGCCCTTCTTTTTCCTCCCCTCCCTCCACCTCTGTCCCCCCACGTGGATGCCGAGGGTGCTCCCTGCTAAACCTGCACCTTAATCCACCTCAGATTCTACTCTGTTCCTTCTGGTTATGATTAAGGCCTCTAAAGCAGGGGTCCCCAACCCCTGAGCCAATACCAGGCCACACAGCAGGAGGTGAGCAGCTGGCGAGGGAAGCTTCATCTGCATTTGCAGCCGCTCCCCAGCGCTAGCATCACCGCCTCAGCTCCGCCTCAGATCGTCAGGCATTAGATTGTCATAGGAGCACCGGTCCCTGGTGCCAAAAAAGGTTGGGGACCACTGCTCTAAAGGAGAGTACCAACATTTTCTGAGTAATTTATTTAATGCCAATCTCTCAATTAGGTATTTTCCATGTTACATCATCAACACAACTACAGGGGCAGGTTATTCCTAGTTGACACATAAGGTAATTGCACCCCCGCCTACCCCCCTTCCCGCCCCCCCAGGCACAGGAAATTGCTCAAGGTCCTGCAGCACAGCAGGGCTGAGATTCAGTAGCACAGCTGGAATTTGAACTTTCATTTAATTGGCCTTCCAGTCTACTCTTTCCACTGGCCACACTATAGTCAAAAATATGGAATAATACACCTAGGGAGTTTGAAGTATTAGCTTATTGTCAGTCAGGTGCCTACATATGAGTCCACTAGTTAGCTAGCCTTTGAGACTTTCAGCCAGAAGCAGGAAATCAGGTGCCTACGTATGAGTCCACTAGTTAGCTAGCTAGCCTTTGAGACTTTCAGCCAGAAGCAGGACACTGAGGACAGGGTTTTGGTGAGGAGAAAGGAGAGGGATGGTTTGCCTACACACATGGAACCGTCAAATGTTAGAGCGAGAAGGAAGCTTAGAGACCCTTCACTCTAGGTCCCTCATTGCAGATGAGAATGAGGCCCAGAGAGGCCAGGCAACCCGTCCGGACTTAATGTCTAGTTCATGGCAGAACTCAGGCTCAAGAGTCAGCCCGGCTCTCTTCCACTGCAACCACCTGCACCTCCCTGAGCTCACCTGGGACCAGGAATTGCTAGCCCAGCCCTGGAACTCCCTTGGAACTCCTTCCGCTCATCTGATTCCCTACAACATCTGGGCTTTGATCTTGTTCACCTGAGCTGCCCCATATTCCAGGCTTTGCCCTCTGCCCACGGGCCTAGAGATGTCTGACAAAAATCCTGTCCTCCTATCTGAACCGGTTTGACAGCTGTGGTAAGGATGGTGGAGCTTCTATTCCCAGGCTGTGCCTCCATCTGTGTAGCATCAGCTGTGGGAAGCATTTACTCATAAGGTATGCCTTGCTCCTCAGGTGTAGACAAGAAGCCACTGGAGCCTGACTGGGACACACACCTCCCTGCCCTGGTTCTCCTTCCCCACCCAAATCCAAAATCATAGCTCTCCTGGGAAGGGCCTTTGTCATTGTCAAAAAACTCAGCCAACTCCCTTCTCTGTAGTGCTCACCCTCCCACTCCCCTGCTCCCCAGCCCACCCAACCCAAAGCAAAGCCTTCCAGGACCGTTTGGGCCTCAGAACAGACAGGGTGTCCTAGGTGTGGTAGGGTGGTTTGGGGATGCTGACCACAGCATACAGGCCCCTTCTTCATCCCTCGTAAGTTTTCCCTCCCCTGAGTCTGGGTGAGTCAGCACCACTGGGCCACACACAAGGCTCCTATTCACGGTTCATTTCCCTTCTGCTCTCATCTTGGCGTCTCTCTCCCCTCCCCCACCCCACCCCTCTCTCTAGCTCTCTCTCTCTCTTTCTCTCTCTCTCTGACGGCCTTATTCTCTCCATGAGAAAGCTCTGCTCCCTGCCCTGTGCCTCCTTGGTTTCCCCCTTTACTCACCCACGTAGGCCCTCACTCCTCATCCATACCTTCTGGGAGTTTGCAGTTCTAGATGGACAGGAACATAAAGGAGGTGGAACAAAATAGAAATGTTAAACCATTAAATCCTCATTCACATATTTTCAACAGTGTTTGTGGCTGCTGGCTCTGTGCAGGCCCTGAGCTATGTTAAGAAGCATACAGACACAGATACACATACACACACACACAGACACACAAACACACACACACACTTGCTGTGTCTGCCTGTCATTTATTCGGCATGTTTATTAAGCACAGACTGTGAGAAGCCTTGTGCTAAAGGCTGGAATTTACTCTTTAAGAGGAAACAAGTCTGACAGATGTGACATCTTAGGGCAGTGCTAGGCAAGATGCAGCAGGTGTCCCAAATGGGTGATGGGGCCCCCAAGTGCCTAAGAAATTCAGCAGAGCAGGGAAATCTGTGGTTTTAGAGACACCAATTTAAATAAACAGAAGGGACAGGATATAGGTTTGCGTAGATAGGGGTGCGTGTACCCTCTGTATGCAGGACATGGTGCCAAAGCAGGATGAGCAAGAAAAGTCGTTCAGAGCAAGAGCTTTGTCATTCTCTGTGGCTTTGGGCAAGTCGGCCTCTGCTAGCCTTTATTTCAGCATCAGTATAATGAAGATATGAGAACCTCCCTCCGGCTCTGTAAGAATTCACGAGATAAAGCAGGCAAGGGCCTGGCGCATGGTAAGGACCCCCTGCCCCCCCCCCCCCCGATTATTTGCCGCCTTTGGGAAAAAGCGCCGTGGTGAGAGGGCGGCCCAGGGCTGCGCGTCTCCGTGGGAAGCTGGGTGCTTCCTACGTCGGAAAGCTGAGTTGCTTGCGCCCCCTGGTGTTTCTATCGCTGTGCTTCTCTCTGCACCCAAGGTCTCGCCGCATCCCTACCTCCCTGGACAGCAGCTACTTCAGAGTCGGTGGCGCGGGCACCGATACGCCCCCTCCATGCCCGCAGCCCGCCATCTCCCTGATAGCGAAGGAGGGAGCCCGGCCACAGTTCCTGCCTCAGACACGGATGGAAGCCCAGACTAGTGAAAGGAGAATCACAAAACAACCCTACAAGGTGGCCGTGCGCCTTGAATGAGCAAATTAGGGACGTCAGACGACTTAGGGCATACGTAAGGACTCGGCAAGTGACAGCCATTAGTATTACGTAGCTCCTAAATCACACCAACACACCGCGGTGCTCACCTATCACACAGGGGTCGGGAGAAGTCTATCAACATTTACTTATTCATTCGCCCATTTAATTATGCTTCAAAAATGTCTTGCTCCTCCTACCTTGTCTTTGCTGTAAACAAACGAACAAACAAACGTTTAATAAGTCAAGTAAGCGGGCACTCTGGGGAGGAAGACGAAGAGATTTCATTCATCCAGACATCCTACCAGGTGCCACTCACTGACTTGGGCACTGGGTAGAAAAATAAGTTACAGGCCCTTAGGGGCTTTAGATGCTGGTGGGAGAGACAAACGCAAAACAGGGTGGACTACCTGGAACAAGCTGTAGCATAACAATCCCCAGTGGAGTCAAGAATGACCAGTCTCACAGAGGAAATGACACTTGTCCTGGTCCTGTTGGAGGGGTAGATCCTCCCGGGTGAAGAAGGGGATGAACGGCATTTCAGGTAATGAGAACAACATATGCAATGCACAGAGCTGCAGACAGGCATAGTGAGAAGTCTGGGGTGGGGGTGCAATCTGAAGAAGCAAATGGGAACAGGGAAGGGCATGGTCTGCCCAAGGGAAGAACTTGGGCTCCACTGGGAGCCTGAACCGAGGAGGCATCATGAGCAGAGGCAGATTCACCATGAAGTTTAAGCTTCAAGGACCATCACTGGCACAGCCTCTTCCAGTCTCTGAAGGGCCCAAGCAATGTGTTCATGTGGTCATCTTTCTCTAAAATTTGCTAAAGTAAGGTATCTTAACTGCAATTAGTTAAGACTGCTGGCTCTTTTCACTCTGATTTCTCCTATATCATGCTCTTCCCCATGTCAGATGGCTTTGGGGTGGTGGCCACAAGCGTTTTGGGAATGTAGCTAAAGGTAAGTAGGATAAAGGACTATTTTTGAGTGAAATATATTTATGTGGTTTGCAGGAACATCCATGTATAATTGTTTTTGCTAACCATCCCAGTGTGGGAATGGCTTCCAGGAATACTGCCATCAGTCATCGTACTGCCTCACCTTGAACAGTGACATGAAGGAGCAACAACGAGGTTGTATTGCAATAACTAACTATATCCTATAGCAACTGGCACTAAAGATAAAGCAGGAGGTGGAGGAGAAAAAGGTTTTAAATGTATAGAGCCAGAAGCTGGTCTCTAGAAAATTCTTCTAGTTATTGGATGTATAAAACTGTAAGTGGGCAATTAATTTCTCATCAATGCCTAGTCAAAACAAAATTTCTCTTTTGTCAGGAAAATATTCAATAATGCAGTGTACACAATTATAAATACACGATAAATATGAAGACATAATCAAAGAGTATGGAGTCAAAGGATAGATATTATTTATTTTAGAGAATTCTGCTTCTGGCCAAGATGAAATAACAGGGACTGGATTTTTTTCTCCCACCTAAAACAACTAAACACCAAGCAAAATATATTAAACAACAACTTTCAAGACATCAGATATCAGGCAACAAAGAACAGAGATGGAAAACAAAGTGAGTCCTATGATTGCCCCAGCATAGCCTGGCAACTCCCCAGGGTGCGGAGATGAAGCTGCGGATTGAGAAGGAAGAGTATTGGAGACAAGAGAGCTACAATGAGCGAGATCTCCAGAGAGCCTCAGAGGCTTCTCCCAGAGTCTTCAATTGAGTACTAATCAACGTAGGCATATGATGGAAAAGACTCAAGGCCAATGAAAGAACCAATCCAAAGAATTAGAGGGACAATACTCAGAGCTCACATGGGACTTGGAGCAGTTTCTGTTCCCACTTGGCAGAATGACAAATCTCATAATTCACAGGATATTGGATAGAGTAGTCAAAAGTTGTCTCTATAGTATGCCAAAGTTAGCTCTAGACTAAACGCTCCCACCCCCCAAAAAAGTTTAAAAGCAAAACTTGGAAGGATCAAACTGTTTCCAAATAACTGCATCCCACAACAAAGCTCAAAAATTTGTATAGGAAAACAAAAGTATCTGCATCCTAAAAATTAAAATTCACAATGTCTACCATCCAATCAAAAATTAACAGGCATGCAATGAAGCAGAAAAATATAGCCCATAATGAGGAGAACAATCAATTGAAAATAAACCCAAAATGACACAATGATAGAATTAGTATACAATTATATTAAAACAGCTATTATCACTGAATTCCATATGTTCAAGAATATAGAGGAAAAATTGAGTTTGTTAATTAGAAACATGAAAGATATAGAAAAGACTCAAATCATAATTGTAGAGATGAAAACCACGCTATTGGAGATTAAAAAAAAACATCAGATGGAATTAACAACAGATTACACACTATGGAAGAAATAAATGATTGTCAAACTTGAAAAAAATAGCAATAAAAACTATCCATAATGCATAATGAAATATAGAACATAAAGAATGATTTTAACAATAAACAGAATATCACGGAGCTTTGGAAAAATTCAAGTGACCTTCATATAAGTTTAATTGGAGTCCTGGAAGGAAAACATCTGAACAAATAATGGCCAAATTTTTCCAAACTTGATGAAAATGAGAAACTCACAAATAAAAAAAAATGTTAATAGATTCTAAGTACAAGAAACACGAAGGAAACTATACCAAGGAACATCATAAATTGTTCAAAATAGTGAGTGATAAGGAGAAAACTTTCAAAACCAGATGGAAAAGACCATATTATAAAAATGAACTAGAATAACAGCAGACTTTTCATTGGTAACAATATAATCCTGAAGATAGTAGAGTGAAAGCTTTAGAGTACTGAGGAAAAAAATATCAACCTAGAATTCTATACCTAGAATTCTATAATACCTTTCAAAAACTAAGGCAAAATAAAGACTTTTCTCAAACATGTACAAGCTGAAAGTACTCGTCAGTAGACCTTCAGTACAAGAAATATTAAAGGAAATACTTCAAGCAAAAGGATAATGATTCCAGAAATCTGGATCTACACAAAGAAATGAAGAGCACTAGAAATGGTAACTATATGGGTAAATATAAAGATTATTCTCTTATTTTTTAAATCTCTTTAAAAAGTTATCACAATGACTGTAGGATTTATAACATATGTAGAAGTAAAATGCATGACAATAGTACTGAAAAAATAATAGGCTGAGAAATAGAAGTAAACCATTGTAAGATTCTTATACTATATATGAATCAGTGTAATATTATATGAAGGTAGACCATGATAAGTTAAATACGTATACTGTAAGCCCTCTAGCAACCACTAAAAAAACAAAACAAAACAAAGTTCATAAGACAACAAAGGAGATAAAAATGGAATCATAAAAAGGACTCAATCCAAAACAAAGGAAAAGGAAAAGGGGAGTAAAGAACAAATGATGGGAAAATAGCAAGATTGTTGATTGAAAACCAGCCATTTCAATAATAACTTAAAATGTAAATGGTCTAAACAACCCAAATGAAGGCAGAGATTGTCAGATTAGTAAAAAAGTAAGTCTCAAATATATGCCCCCTACAATAAATCCACTTTAAATATGAAGACATAAACAGGGTAAATTGTTATAGAATACTCCAACCGAATGCAGCAGAATACATTATGTTTGAGTACACACAAAACACTCACAATGAGGCTCATAATTAAAATGTCTAAGTTTAAAAGGATTTAAATCATACAAAGCATGTTCCCTGACTACAAAGGAATTAGAAATTAATAACAAATGTCTCTGGAGAATCTCCAAATATCTGAAAAATTACAGTTTTAAATAACCCGTGGGCCCGTAAAGAAATTATAAAATATTTTGATATGAATAAAAATGAAAACACAACATCAATATTTGTGGGACACAGGCTGCAATCATAGTGCAGGAAGAGGAAGATGTTAGAGATTACAATTTGACTGAGGAGCAGAAGGCAATCAAGGCCACATATCCAGTCAATCAGAAGTATGAGTATTTGGATCATATAGCGGATGTCCAGTTATATGCACGGGGAGATACTCTGGAGGAAGCATTCAAACAATGTGCAATAGCCATATTTGGTTACATGACAGATACTGGGACTGTGGAGCCCCTCCAAACAATAGAAATAGAAACCCAGGGAAATGACTTACAATCTCTTCTGTTTCATTTTTTGGATGAGTGGCTCTATAAATTCAGTGCTGATGAATTCTTCATACCCCAGGAAATGAAAATACTTAATACTGATCAAAGAATTTTCAAATTATAGTCAGTTGGGTAGGGAGAAGAATCCTCATTGTCCAAGCATCTTCAGGGAACTGAAGTTAAGGCAATAACATATTCAGCAATGCAGGTCTATAATGAAAAGAAGCCAAGAGTTTTTGTGATCACGGACATTTAAGATACCCACCTCCAAAAAAAGACTCTTATGAAACACTGTTTTTTCTCTTCCTTTTGAGAAGATACCATGATACCATGATATAAATTCTACAGTATCTGATGATATATGGAGATTGCAGAACAGATATTTTTAACCTAAAGCGTGACTCTTAGAAATGGAAAATCAAGGCACATCCTTGGTCTGTATTAACCAAAATAGTCCAACATTAAGAATTCTTCAGGTGGCAAACATGGTTTTTCATTTACTAATTCCCTGCTGTAACAGCAGGTGCCTCTCACCCTTCCGCGGGAATGCCAGCCCTCCAGCCCGGTGTCAGAAGGGATCATTGGTGTTAGCAGCAGTCCAAGAGTTTGGAAAAATAATTATAATTTGAGAAATCCTACAATCGGAATTTTGCTTTTCCTCCAAATTGGTTAAGACATATATTTTGTATATGTACACTAAAAGAGGTTGTATTTTAGATTGCTGTGGGACAGAGCCATCCTGCATTCCAGTTGGTTTTCTTAGAATAATTATAGTTAAACAATTGGAAGACTTCTCTAGAAATGGCCTTGATTTTCTCTCTCACTTTGTTTAAGTACTGACTGATACATTGATACTTTCCTCTTTTCCCATAAGAAAAATTTGATGCCCTTACAAACGGGCCATTCCTTCTAACATGTAATTTTATATTAAAGCTAGGATATTTATACAGTTAGAGAAGAAAAGGAGAATTTTAAAAATTACTTTGGTTTTTAAAAATTGCCTAAGCTCTTCATTTCTAAAGAGACAGGAGGCCAGGAAAACAACTTTAAAAGGATCTGAACTTTTCAAAGTAGATAACTTTTAAAAAACGAAAAAAAAAATTTTTGTGTGGGAAAGAGATAAAGCAGTACTTAGGTAGATCCAGGATGAAAATAGGCCCCTAACTCTGGTAATTGGGAGGAATTTTGTAATAAGAATAATTCCCAATATACTTTTGGGTATTGTGAAACCAGATTATAGCAGATTAAGAAATAAATAGGAGTTAAGAAAAAATGGAAAAAGTTTGGAGCTCTTTTTAATGGAGAGTGTACTCTTTAAGAAGGTTAGAGGTTAAGGAAGGACAAGGGAGGGTAACTAGCTTTGAAAGAAAGTTTTCAGATAAAGTTGATAAAAAGAATAGATTTTATTTATAGACCAGGAATACTTGGTTAATGGACAGAGAAATGTAGAAAATTCAGAAACAGCTTGGCTCATTAAACGGAAAAAAGTAAAGTCAGGCCTTGAACCATGTACAAAACCCAATCTCGATGGAATAAAAACTGAAGTACAAAATATGAAACTATAAAGCTAATTGAAGAAAACAGGGGAATATTTTTGTGATCCTTGGATAAGGAAAGACATCTCAAATAAAATCGAGGAAGTACAAAACCATGAGGCAAAAATCGATAGGTCTGAACACATCAGAATTAAGGATTTCTGTTCAATAAAGAACACAATAGACAAAATTAACAAACAATTGCACTCGGAGGTTTTTGGTTTTTTTTTTTTTTTACGATTGAACTGGGGTAATGGGGAGGAAAATCTCAGCACATCGTATCAAGGGTACCCACCATCAACATGACCTATCACTGTCGATGTTGACTTTGGTCACCAGACGGAGGTTTGTTAGGGTTCTCCACCGTAAAGTTACTCCTCCTTCCCCACCTCCACACAGTTTTATTTTCTGGACTTTTTGAAAATCACAACCTGTAGCCCATAAAGTAGCTACATAAACTATTTCGATTTGTGTCTTCTCATGTATTTATTTACTCAATCATTTTTTTCAGTATGGACTCGCGCATATTTATTTTATACACTTTGGGTTAAAATTTAAAACTACTTAATTTTGTTGCTCAAATTGTCCGATGTTGACCACTGGGGGCGCTTTCAGTTCACCCGTGTTCGTTTTTAATTTTTAATATGGATAGATATAACCTACATTTGTGAAAAGCTCTTTGGGGTCCTTGAGGAATTCTAAGCGCGTAAAGGGGTCCTGAGACCAAAAAGCTTGAGAACCTCACATGACCTCAACACCAGGTGTGGACGTGGTTCTTCCGCAGGAAGAGGCTGCAGACAGTGAAGAAGCAAAGGAGATCACAGTCCCGCACCTTTGGGGAACCCAGTTCTCTCTCCTACGCTCTCCACACATTTTCTCTGGGTCTGAAACGCACGAGTCCCCCATGAAAACGCAGCTCACCCTGCCACGCTTTTCCAGGAAACGCCACTGCGGGGCGCACGGCCCACAGAGTGAGTCACCGCCGGCGAGTCAGGACCGGGGCCATATCCTGGGCTCCAGGCTCAGCGCTTTTCTCTGCGAGGCGGGGCCCTGGCCTGACGGCTTGAGAGGTTCGATACCCGCTCCAGGCTCTGCTGGCTCGCGCTCCTGGGCCACATCAGGCGTGCGGGCGCGGCGCCCGCGGAAAAGAGCGCTCCTGCGGCAGTGGCAGGGCGCGCAAGGAGGACGGGCCGGTTCTCCAGTCCTCGGATGGGCGCCCCCGTGCCCTCCACCTGCGAGGCCCTGCTGAAAGCACCCGGACAGCTCCCTGCTCTCCGCCCTCCCCTTGCTGGCCCGGCTGGGCCCCGCAGACCCTTTCCTCTGCGAGCGCACGACAGACAGATAAATGGTTGCAGCTGGAGGCCGGGCTAATTGATACAATAAGTTCTGTAATTGCCTCGAAAATAAAGTAATGATTTGGCAGAGGGAATACTTTGATCTTATCAGCCAAGAAAGACCTCTCCAAATGAAACTTCAGAGAGCGGCCGCACTGCCTGCTCTCCCCTCCCTCTTGTCCCGTGTTCCCTGCCTGACACTCCAAGCTTTTCAAGAAAGGATGGAGGGACCCGACCCGTCTCCCATCCTCCTATAATGACTGGAGAATATGCGCACATATGCGTGGGTTATGTGTGCAGAAGGGGTGGGTTCTGGGCCGTTTCAGGAACAGGGGGATGGCTGGAATGATTTCTCTAGCCCTCAAGAAGCTGTAGAAAAGGAGATGGGGTTCGGGGGGAGGCCGACTGGGCTTATGAAAAACTAGACCCGGCTCAGGCTTGATGAGATTTCTTATACAGTGACTTGGGCTTTTCAGGCAGGAGGGCATAACAGAGGGAGAACCTTGGTCCTGCCTTTTCCAAGAAGCTGCATGTGCACGCTCACGCGCGCACACACACACACACACACACACACACACACACACACACACCCTGACTGCGCTGTGGGTGTCCCTGCCTGGCAGAGGCCCCAGCACAAAGAGGATTAGAGAGATGAGCTAATCTGGTTGATATCCCAGACATGGCCCCAGAAAGGGACCTTGTCTATCCTGATGTTAAAGGGGGTGAGGAAGTGAGGAGTCTTCCTTTGGGGACCCACTAGCTGACAGTATCAGAGACTCCTAACCACTGGGGTCTGGAGGATGCCGAGGTCCTGACCTCAGGATCAAACTTAGGGAGCAGAGAAGCAGAGGTCTGGGACAGCAGGATGGACCGTGCTGGTATAAACCAGAGAGAGATAGAGAGAGCAGCAGGCCCCCACAGGGGAGCTAGACCTCCACCCTACTTGTTTCATCAGTGAGGAAACTGAGGCCAGGAGTTGGAAAGTGACCTCCAGAATCATGCAAGTCATACATGGCTGGGTTGGGGGAAAGACTCCAGTTTTCTGATTTCTTTCAGTCTCATGCACGTTGTGCTGTATTGCAGGGACTGCCGAGGAAGCTGCGAGACAGAGAGCAAAAGAAAATGAGAAAGAGTCAAAGAGAAAAAGATACACACCAAGAATAATATAGAGAGCAACACACGGAGATCGAGACTGAGAAAGCCACAGAGTCAGAAACGACACGGAGAGAGATAGGTGGGGACACGAAAAGGAGAGTGAGAGAGACAGTTACCTAGATTCACACCGAGAGAGAAAAATGGAGAGAGAGATACACACCAAGAGATGGAGAGTGACGATGACTGAGAAGGAGACAGATTCAGACGGAGGAGGAAAGGCAGGCAGACATAGACACACAGAGAGACAAATGATGACAGACAGACAAACAGAAAGGTAGGAATAGACGCAACGACAGAAGTGAGCCAGGGAGAGCAGACCCAGAGAGACACAGAAAAGAGACATGGGGAGAGCAAGAGGCAGAGCGAACCAAGGAAGGCGGACCAGGAGGAAGGCAGGCAGTGTCCTCTGCAGATTTTTGTCCATTGGGAGCAAATCTCGCTTCCAGGTCATTCTGGGGCCCGGAACAGGTGGCGGGGAGAGAAAGAGAGGTTAATGCTTTGCTTATTTGATACAAGTAGATTGGGAGAGGGAGGCCAGGGGCAAAGTGGGAACTACGCTCCCTTGGGGTTAGACTGGTCAGTGACCACCCAGGATCCCAGCAGCACGCCCACTGGCCTCACACAGAACCTGGGCCACCCGCCCAGGATGGCTGTCAGCCCGCCCACTGCCTGGCTCCAGTCTGATTACAGCCGAAGTGCTAAAAGGCTCCAGACCCCCATGTCCCGCCTCCCAAACCTTCCCTCCTCCTTCGCCTTCTTCCTCAGCTCCCTCTTTTCCTTTCTCCCAGGCTCCTTGGGGAGCAGTCTGCCCCTGTTTGGCCACTGGCTGAGAGGAAGGGGGTCCCTGCCCTACCAAGCTCCCTTCCTTAGTTTGGGGCTGGATGCTCCTTCCTTGCAAGGACCTCTTGGCCTGGTCTCCTTGAGACATGTTCCATGCCTCGCCTGGGAGCTCATAAATACCAAGGAGAAGCTGGTCAGGCTGTGTACAAAGCATGGATCCCCACCCCAGCCCCCTTAAAAGCCCCTGGGTTCCTCCTGAACTCCCTTCTCTTCCCTAGACACCTGCGTGGGGAGGCTGGGGAGGGAGAGACAGGGCAGGGGGTGGGCATTGGGGGCCTGTGTGAACCTGGAGCCATTTCAAATGAGACTGGCTTTGGTTTGCAAAGCAATCTCAGGAAAGGCAGCTCAGGGCCCCTTGTGCAAGCAGCAGGCGCAGGAATTCCTTGACTCTCATCCAAACCTCCCCCCCAGCCCCTTCTCGGCCTTTCTCTCTGCTCATTACCATCCACACCACCTCCCACCCACTGGGAAAGAGAGAAGGTCATCGCCAAAGGGGCCCAGGGAAGGGGGGGCCTCCTGGGAAGTGGGGAGGCCCGGCGGAATAAGAGCTGTTTACCCACACCAAACTCCTTGAGCTCATCTCCACTCCCATCCAAGGGCCAGTAGAAATTCAAAATCGTTCTGTCACACACAGCTGAGCACAGAGCGAAAGAAGATGAATCTTAACTCGCAGTGGCTCCCCGTAGGCAGCAGAGTAAGAGGTGCAATATCAAGGGACAGAGAGCACTCACTTTTGAGAGGGTAGGAGGCTGTGGTGCCACCTCGAGGCAGAAGGAAGAGCTGGCTCTGCTGCTGGCTGGACGCTGTCCTGCTGGAAGCCTGTGCTGGGAGAGGGCCTCTGGGATTTCCTCTAGGTCTCTGCTGACATCTGCAGCGTGCAGCCAAACACAGTGTACCACCCTCAGATGGCTTCGTCGTATTTGCAAGAAAACGCCTTGGATATAGGACACTTTCACTCTTTCTGTGTCATTTCGGATGCCCTGGCTAGTGCCAAGCACACAGCAGGTGCTCAATAAGTGCCTATGTGACTCCATGCAGGGCCCTCCAGACCAGAACTTGACTCCCAAATCAGCGACTCTTCCCCTGGCTCCCACTGTCGTGGAGAGCGGGGCGGGGGTGGGGGGTGCGGGTGAAGATGGGAGGGAGGAGTAAGTCAGGCGCTAGCCTGAGCCTCTGGCCTTGACCCTCTGCTTGGAAGCCCAACAACAGGCCCTTGCGTGAGGAGCCGAGCTCTCCAGTGGTGTCTAGGACCTTGAGACTGGAAGTTTATTTTGAGATTTGAAGCTCCAAAGTGGCAGATCCCAGAAAACCTCTTCTCTGGCTCCGTATTTGTTCTCCAGTTAAGTGGTTGAGTGCAACTCTTGCAGTCAGCTGGCTCCTGCAGGCCCGGGTCCCTCCTGGGGAGCTGGGGGCTCAGAGGGGAAATGAAGAAGAGGAGGAAGGAGTAAAACCCCATCCTGGGTTGTCCACTCTGTGGTAGAGGTAGCCTGTAAGCACTGGGGAGAAAGAAGTCTTGTTCCTCACCCACTTCCCTCCCTCTTGGAGCTGCTGATGTTTCTGGGGCCCCCCTCAGCTCAGCAATATGCTTTACTTGTTGAGCATCTATGTAGTGCCAAGACACAGTCTCACTTGACTATGAAGACAGCTGAAGCCAAAGAAGGGGCCTCGTAAATGAGTTTGGGGCCCATGTGGGCGAGTCCACCCAAGGTTAGGGCTGATGTGATCATCTCTAGCTCCCCACCCTGCAACCTCAGCCCATATGTAGAAATAAACACAGGGCCAGAGTCACACCCAGGCCTAAGCACACAGGGGAGTCTGGGAGAGGCTGCTAGAGCTTGCAGACTGCTGCCCAGCATCAGGGTGGGGCCGGGCTGGGAGGAGGTGAAAGAGTGGGTCCAAGGGAAGGGGTCTTGCCAGGAATGAGCCTGGGCCCACCCCTCTCTCACCTGCCCCTCTCAGGGGAGCTCAGCACAGAGTCTGCTCTGCTGCTTTTTCAGGAAATAGAAGGGCCGACTGAAGCCTCCCAGACTAAGAGAAAGGAGCGAAGGGAAGGGGGTCAGCTGGTTGGTCTTTCTATTCGACCGTCCCTCTCCCACTCCCATCTGACTCCTGCACAACTCCACTTTCCACCGTCCCCCCAAGGGCGGGCACCTTTCTGCCCTGCATGACTTGGCCCACCCCTGTTACCTCTCTGAACTCCTCTCCTCCCTAGCTCCCTCTGCACCAGCTGGCTACCCCCTTGCCCACTCTGCACACCCGCCCACTCCCACCTTAGGGTTGTTGTACTCGCTGTTCCTCAGTTTGGGATGCTCTTCACCACATATCTGCCTGGCTTGGTCCATGCCTCCTTCAAGTCTTTGCTTGAATGTCACCTTAATGAGGCCTCCTGGATCAGCCTAGTTACAACTGTTTCTTTCCCACTGTACTTATGGCTTTCTAACACGCTGTATGTTTTACTTATGATGTACACTGTTTAGTGTCTATCTTCTCCCAATAGAAAGTAAACTCCATGAGGGCAAAAATTGTTGTTTTGCTTTGTTCACTGATGTGTCCTCGGTGTCTGAGCACAGTCTGGAACATTGTGGGGAATAAATATTTGTTGAATTAATGAACACACTCTACCCCCTGTCACAGAAAGTGAGGTAAAGGGCTAAAGGTCCCTCTGAGTCCTTCTTCCTCGTCTCTGCCTCTGGGATGTCTGCAGCCTCTGCGCAGCCAGCTGTGCCCTGTCTGCTCACACTCCAGTGTCTCTAACACCCCCAACCAAGAACTGACAGTAAGTTTGGGGTTGAGGGAGGTGGGCAGTTTCCACTGCGTTGTTTGCTTTATAGTTTAGATAAATCACGAGGACAGGCACCAAAGACACCTGGGAATGAGGGGCTAGGAGAGAGAAACTGAGGTTTGGAGAAGGGGCTGGGGCCAGATCCCAGGTGAACTCTCGAAGTTGGAAGACCCCAGAGCTTTATAAAGAATTTTACGTCTCTTAAGGGCCACTTTGCCCCCCAAGGCTCTACCTGCCACCCTGGACAGTGCGGTGGGGGGGGGCGTGGAGAAGAGGGGAGTCGCCGGCTGCCGTCAGCACCACCCACCCCTTCCCGATTTACCACGCCCCCAGGCGGTGTGCGGAGGAGGGAGCAGTGGGGAGGAGGGAAACGCGAAGGAGAGAAATGGCTCCGGGGCTCCCCATCTCTCAGCAGGACCCCCACCCCGGCCTCTGTTCGGGAAAGCCGCCCAGCTGTTTCTGATTCTTTGGTACTCGCAGCCCCGCCCAAGGGGGTGGGGGGCTGAAGCCCCGGAGCAGCCGGGGAGACTGATCCCTGCTGAGCCCCGGCGGTAAAGGGCGGGGAGTCCGTGTCAGGCCCGCAGGTGCGCCCCCCTCCATCCGGCCACTGACTGCTGGGCCACAGGCCGGAGGGAAGCAGCGGGGCCGGGCGGGTGGGCAGGAGCCAAGTCTGAACGTTGTATGGGGGTTGCGGTGGGCAGTGGGTGGGAGGAACCAGGGACAGCAAGCCCCAGATGAGAGAAGCCCCTACGCCCGAAGCTGGCCGCCCAAGGCGCCCCTGTTGGCGCCATTGAAAAGGAGTAAAGATTCTCCCGCAACTTCCCTTGGCAGAATTCTACCCATTTCACAGAAGCGCAAGAACGGAGAGGACCGGAGGAAACGAGTGCGCCTTCTGCGCTCAGGTCCAGTATCTCCCCGTAGGTTAGCGGACAGGGGAAGTGTCTGCCGCCCCTCTACGTCTGTGCTCCTGGCCATCGCCCACAGAAGTCGGGGTTGCCGAATGCAGGGCGCTAGGACCCGGTGGCGCGGCGTCGGCAGAGACTGGGCGCTCTGGGCGCTGAGGGGCGCCGCAGCGCCCAGCGCCCC